AAGCCACAGCACAGCCAGCTTCCCTCTCGTGCCCGCATCAGCCGCATGGCTCAGAAGCAGAGCAGACCCAAACTTCCAGGCCACCGGGTCTGACTGCCGTTGGGCAGAAAGCGTTTTGCTCCCCAAGGCATGGGAAGTAATTTGTTATTTGAATGTCTGCATTGTAATTCCTCTTCTCTGGTGTAAGAGCAGCACTGTTCTTCTGTGAGACCAGAGATTCTGAAGAAATGTGGCAGAGACCAGGAAAGGGGAAAGGGGGTCTGAATGATGCGACTGAGAATCGCAACACTGAGGATCCCCTGTAGCGCTGCATGTTTCAACTGCAGGAGAGCTCTGGCTGTGTGATACCTTTGGGTAGAGAGTGAGGAAAAGACAGCCCATTTCAAAAACACTCACAGTGACCACAAGCTCCTCCACTCTTCCCTTTCTGTAACTAGTCCTTGAAGATCTTCCAATGAAGCAAGGAATCAGCTGGTTTCAAGCATCAAAGCACGTTGTTTCTGCAAGCAGTGAGAAGGTGCAGTGGATGCTGGCAGCCTCTGGCAGGGTGTGCTGCCCCACGCCTGCCTGGGCTGTGGCTGGTGGCTGTGTGGCACGGGCAGGGCTGCTCTGCAGGGACTGCTGGAGTCAGAGACTTGTTGGAAAGGGCACCCAGTACCTTTCTTTTGGCATCTTTGGCCCTGTCCATAGCAGGACATGTTCCCAGGCACTCCCACAGACCTGTGTGCACATCCTTGCAGTGAAGAGGTCCCACCTCCTCTGCAACTCCTTAGCAAGAAGCTGGCTCAGCCCTTCCTCATGCCAGGTGCTATATAAGCAATGGAGGAGTTGCAGTCCCTGCTCAGGCTGCTTTGTCGCTCCAGCAGAAACTTGCAGATAGAAGAGACAAGTGGGCAGATAGGGTAAAGAGGGCACTGTAGCAGGATGTGTGTACGCCTTTTGCCAGTCTGAAACAGTGTGGCGAGACTTGCTTCTTGCCTGCCTTTGTGTCCCAGAAAACACTATGAGATCAGCACAAGTCCCTGAACTCATTCCCACTTGAGAATCATCTACTTGCAGCACTTAGCAGCTTGTACAGAGTGGGCTCCTGACAAACTTGGCCACCTTTCACAGAAGGAGGGAGTGTTGAGACCCTCCCTTCCTTTATCAGTGATGTGCAGAAGGAGCTGGTCGGAGCTCCTCCCTGGGTGGGAGTGAGAGCATGGCACTGCCAGAAGAGATTAGAGCAGGACTCTATCTACAGCCAGAAGGCAGAGCAGGATTACTGGACCTCTGACCTTGAAATCCAGCCTGAGCCTCTGGTTTGGTAGAACTTCCCCTTTGCTTATTGCCTTAGCCACAGCTACAATGCAATGGGCTTGTTTAGGTCCAGGCGTTGCATGTTGGGGTGAAGAGGCTAGGACATTCATCCAGTGGCAGTAACTCTTTGCAGGGTGAGGCTGAGAGCAGGAAGACACCTGTGAATAGGAACAGAGGTAGCCACTAATCAGGGCCAGGAGAGGGAAAAATTTAGATTGTCAGCAGACAAGGGGAGCTTTTTCCTGAAAGAAAAGAAAAGGAAGGAGAATGGAAGCACAGTCTGATGTGCTGTGCTATGTTTTTTACTTTAGAAGCTCTTTGAGCACTTGGCAAACTCCAGGTCTGAGGCTCCTCCTGTGAGGAGTTGCTGGCAGCAGCCTTCTGACACTTCACAGCTTGAATGTCCGCAGGTCTGGAGCATGACACCTGTGTGCAGGTTGTAGCAGCTGTGTAGGAGTGCAAGAGGTACACAATGGCAAGTGAGGCAGTTTATTTGCTCCTCTGGTATAGCTTCTTCCTGGAAGATTGCTGGGAAGGCACAGGAGAATGGAAAGAAACCCTACAAACTCCAAAGAAAGGAAAACCAGTAGAGACAGTCTCTGCATCTGGAAGCAGTTGCTGTATATCCTGGGGCACATGGGTAGCAAGTGACTGCGTGTGCGTACAAATGCCAAGGGGTGCATGCAGCATGCCCATGCTGTGCTTTATGGTTATTAGTGGATGGTAACTGTGCAATGTGTGTGTCTGTGCTCAGGTGTGTTGGTGATGTGCTGCCCGGGAGATATGTGTGTGTCTTTTTGATACGCACACCAACTTGTGTCCATAGGGTCTCTGCAATTCTTGCTGTCACTGCTCCCCTTTGCTGAAATTCAGGAGATGGCAGTGACCCAATCCTTACTTCAGTTCCTTGGCTAATCTAGTGTTGTCTTGATCTCTGTGACACCGCAACGTAAAGCGAGCTGTTGTGAACGAATGCCCCCCAAGGGGTAGGTAGGCAGCCCCAACATGCATACTGACATCAGAAGAGCAATATGACTGCAGATCTGTTTCTTCTGCTTTTACCATTTGAGCTAAGCTGTCCCTGCTGCTCTGGCTGCTTGTGCTGTCTGATGACCTGCATCTCTCTGTCCATCTCTGAAAGGTGCATGCTGAGCATGGGGAGCAGAAGGGCAGTACTTCTGAGGCACTCAAGCCTCAGCACGTTCTCCAAGGCCCTGGCTCCCAGCATCCAGGGGGCTGGGAGGGAACCACAACCTCTCTCCCCTGTGGCAGGTGTTACCTGTGAAATGCCAGGCTCCTGGGCATGTCTGTGGGGCTGCTCTTTCTGTGCTGTTCTGGAGGTGGTACCTGCAGCTCTGACCCGCTCCCGGCACTTGGCAGCAGTCATCTGCTTTCCGGACGCGGCTTGGTATTAAATATCCTGTCTGACACAATAATGGAGAGAAAATGAACAAATTCCATTAGTGGCTGGCGATCCCTGCAGGGTCTGCATTGGAGCGAAGAGGGAGCTTGTATTTTTAGATAGAAGGCAATGTAACTTACTGGCTCTCTGAAAGCTGGGGAGTAGATAACCAAGGAGGGAGAGAGGGGACACCAGGCTCAGGTTTCAGCTGAAGTGCCGGACTATGGCAGCACGAAAGGGCAGGTCCGGTCCAGACGTGGCTGTGAGTATACAATGCACTTCTCCTTCATGCCTACAGAGACCTCCACTTTGCTTTTCTGCTTGCTTTCTGCCTGTAGTCTCTGCTGCTGGGCACGCTTCGGGAGCCCCTTTGCTGCTGGAGCCTGTAGACTTTCACCATTTTAATCTTTGCAGCTCCATGTGTGTCCCATGGGTGGGAGAGCCTGGCTGAGTTGTGCTTTGGCTTTCCAGGGGATTTGCTGTCGAAGGTCTGCGCTGTGGCTGGCGTGCCACAGCATAGCTGAGGTGCTGCCCTGTCACTGATCCTGACCTGAGGTGCAGAGGCTTCTAGCAGAGTCTGAGGTGAAGAAGCTCTTTGCATTCAACCTGTTGCTTGAAGCTGTCAGTGTTTCCTTGCGAGACCCCAGACAGCACGCAGGGCTCAGAGCACAAACGTGCACTCCTAAGCACAGTGCTGGTGCCCCCTTCTGCATCTTACAGTAGATCATCCTGTATAAGCAGAGCACTGAGATGCCATGTCATGTCTCCTCTGTGCTCACAGCCCTCCACAAAGCCTGCAGCTCTGCTGTGAATCTGGGGGCTCTTCCCAAATGGACCGGACTCTCCTCTGAGGCAGCAGCAAGTGGAGCCAGCTGGTACAGGAGGTCATGCGATCAGCACGTGTTCCCCCTGCACGTGGAGGCTCCACGCCTGGGCAGGGCATGGTGGTGCTGCCCTGCACCACCTGTCCCTCTGACCCTGTGGGCTACCCCAGAAGGGGCCATGGCACCCAGCCACTGCTGTGGGAGCCCGGGCTGAGTTCTGCAGGGTGTGCCTGGCACAGTGGGGGCCAGGGCACCCTGTGTGTGGGCCTTCCTTCTGCAGAGGGTAGCAGAGCAGTGGGTCCAGGACATGGTTATGTTTCTCTGGGGTAGGAGGATTGGACAGAAAGGATAGGCTGGGGGAGGCAGATGGAGGAGAGCAGAACGCAGCCGAGTTGTGCTGCTCCCAGTTTGAATGGCTGAGGCTGCAAAGAGAAGGGAAGAGAGGAGCCCTGGGCTTGTGTGGTGCATCATCCTGCCTAGGTCTGCCTCCAGTGCTGTCCTCTGTGTCTGTGCTGCTTCCAGCTTCTGTCCAGGAGCTTCCTAATCCTGGGTCCTCCTCTGCAGCCTGGCTGTAGGCTCTACAGGATGGCCTGGGATGGCAGGACGTAGGCTTTCATAGCACAGGAGTCCTTCGGTCAGTCCCAACATGAGTGGTACAAGAGGGGTTCTGATTTTCCATTGGAGCTGAAGGCAGGGGAGGGTGTCCTGTGCCCTTGCCAGGGATGTCTTGTGGCTCTTTGCTGAGAGAGCCCTTTGGGCTGTACCTAGCAGGCAGGCACCAGCTTGTAGTCACCAGTCCAAGGTCCCAGCCTCACAGAGCCATGCCACTGCATTTCCACCCTGTTTTGCTCCAGCTTCTGGGGAGCCATCCCATGGTTTTCATTTGCTGCCTTACACTGCTAAATAGCATTGCTTGAAGTGTCACTGTGCCTTGCCCGGGGTGGCTGTGTGTCAGCAGTGCAGGGAGGCATTGTCGTGTTTCTGTCGGAAGAGAGTTGCGACTCGCCTGGCTGCAGAGTGCTCGGCCGGGATCAGCATCCCTGGTGCTGGTTCTTGGACTCGCTGCTGCAAACAGAAACAGCAGTTTCTGGAGGACAGCAGGGGTGGGCTCACCACAGCTGCAGTCTCTCAGCCAGGACACAGAGCATTTCCTGGGCCAAGAGAGCTGCCATGGCTGCAGGAGTCCCTGTAGAGCTCCTCCCTACCCTGCCCGCAGCGCTGGGACAAGCTGCAGACCTCGTGTGGCTCCTGCCCTGTCGTCTGGATGCTCTCTGCTCTAAGGCCAGGTCCCAGCCCTGCTTCTCTCTGTCTGATCTGGGGTGGCTCAGTCTCTCCCAGCGGTTCCACTGTGACTCACGCAGCCCCTGCCTTCTGTGTGGTCATGTTCTCTGCAACCGAGTGAAGGACTGGCCCTGTACTGGTGATGGGGGAGAGCAAGGGGACTCTGTCTCATGCTTTTTGTTTTTTTCCCCAAGGCCGATGCTGCAACCAGTTTCTTGAGAGCTGCAAGATCCGGGAATCTGGACAAAGCCTTGGATCACCTCAGGAATGGGGTAGATATTAACACCTGTAACCAGGTAGGTGAAACTCACAGGGCTTCTGGTACCATCTCTAGTCCATGTGAAAACGTGCCATGCGGTGGCTCCCCTGGGCCTAGTGACTGTCACTGCACCCTTCCTTACAGTGCTCCCGTGAGATGGAGGCAGGGAGGTTCCCCATGGTTCCCCATGATTGGGAGCACCTGCCCTGATCCCACAGTCTTACCTGCCACAGAGCCAGCTTATAGTTGGCTGGTAGTAAGTTGCCTGGCAGAGGAAGTTTAAAAACTTTGTGAGAGAGGCTGCTGTTCCTGACCCCACTGCCATCCCAAGCCTGATGTGCCTGGCTCCTGATGGAGCAGCTGGGGGTGAGACGAAAGAGTTGCTGTGTTAGGTAGAGCGCAATGGCAACTTTGCTGCACGGAAGTCGTTTCCTGGGGGCGATCTGCTCTGCAAAGGCATTGTGCAGTCTCCGGGCACACGTCTCCAGAGCAGTGGCATGCCCAGCAGAGGGATCTGTGCACACCACCCTGGCAAAGTACAGTGGGGGGATCCCTGGGGTGCAGAGTTGATCCTGGCAGACCCCGTTTTCCTCTTGCCTGTGCCACTCCCTGCCAGGCTCTGCAACCTGCAGCCCCCTGTTCCTGCCTGTGCCAGGAAGCTGTCACAGGAGCTCCTAACCAGAATTGAGCTCAGGGGAGAGGCCACGCAGGGCAGACTGCAGCATGAGAGCTGTCCCTTGCTGAGGAGGTGTCCAGAGCTGAGCTGGGGAGGAAAATGCCTGACCAGGAGGCACATCTGGACCAGCTGTCTTTGGGACAGGGAGGGCAGCAACAGCTATAAAGATCTGAGAGCCTGGCAATACTGGCTGGAGCATAGCAAAGGGCATTAACAGTGAGCAGAGAGGGAGATCTGAGGCTCCCGTAGGGTGACAAGCAACTGGGACAGCTGGAAGGGGCTCAGCTGCTTATCAGAGGGCAGAGCAGATAGCTGTGAGGAGTGTAGCACAGTGGCTGGGGCGTTGCAGGAATCTCTCTTGGGGATATTCCCCTTGCCTGCAATGCTCAGGCTTTCCGTCAGGTTTCCAGAAGCTGCAGCTGAACACAAGCAGGGGATGTTTGAAAAATGCGATCTCGGTGCCTTGGGAGGTGTTGGGCAGGTGAAGCCCCTCCCAGGCCAGAGCAGAGACAGGTCTGCCCCACGGAGGGAGAGCTGTGGGCACAGAGGAATTGTTTGCACATAATCAACAGAACATTTTGTATCTCTGTAGCTGCCGATTGCAAGTGGCTCAGCCTGAATTGGGGTTGGTGCTGCAGGGAGAGACTCAGGGGCTTGGGCCGAGCAGGGGGGACAGACAGACTGCACTGTTGGCTGCTTTCCAGAGCAGTAGTGGTGCTGGGGAGGCAGGTAGCACAAATATGTATTCACCTGGTTCAGTATCAAGTCCCAAACCAAGTGAAGTTCAGACCTGCTGGTCTGTGCGCTGCAGAGGCCAGTGCCGTTACTGCAGACTGGTTGCCCCAGGAAATGTCACCATCTCCTTTTCTTTGCTGACCAATGGTACCATGCAGGGCTGCTGGGCTTCTGCAGGCCCCTGGGGCACACTGCAGCTTGCATTCTCCTTGCTGGGACACTAGGTGAGGTTTGGGGAAAGGTCAGGAGATGCTCATTTTGTTCATCACAGTACTCTCTGGATTATTAGCTCATAATCAGCATCCGGATACTCTGAGAGACTTCTGTCCTGGAGCGGTGTGTGGACATAAGGGATTTAGATCAGAGAGTTCTTGTAGAGACAAGACAGAAAATTTTCAGTTTGAGTCCTTTGAAGATGGGCCTTTCCATGGGGTCTTGTTGGTGGGTTAGAGGCTCTGATCCCGTAATCATTTTGGAGATGTACAGGGTTTGAGGAGGAGAGGCCACATGACATGTGCTTAGCACTGGGCTTGCAGGACTTGGCTTGCGCTCGGTGCTGAGCAGGTCACATGTTTGCACCTGATGGGATCTTCCAGGTTGCTGTGCTTCATTTCAAAATTTGGCCCAGTCATTAAACCCAGCAGCTGCTCCCTTAGTCTCTCCTGGGGGGCCAGAAGCCCCTGTGATTGAGCCGCAGCAGCGGGCCAGTCGCTGGAAGCAGTCACACTGCTCCTGCTTCCAAACACTGAGCTACACGTGAGCAGAGACAAACAGGTGTTTAGTGCACCACTGCGCCCTTACAGACCTCTGGGAAAGCGAGTCGCAAGGAGCAGGGAGATCTTGCTGCTCCGTGCTGCTCTCCTCTCCGGAAGGACTGGGGATGCTGCTGTGTGTGGCATGTCCCTGTGTGCCCTGTGTGTGCAGAGCTGGAGCAGGGCCTGGCAGGGAAATCATCTTACTTTGCCTGTTCACAGGAGGCTCAGAGAATCCTCTCCTGCCAGTTCCTAGGGGTGTCCGGAGGAGAGGGCAGGAGCAGATGGGGCTGTGTCTGGTGGCTCTGGCTGGTGCCTTCAGAGGTGGGAAACCACACGCAGAGCCGCAGCTCTCCGCTCATTTCTGACGACAAGTCTAAATGCAGAGGGGGGATTTCTGTGTCCACTGCTCCAGTGCAGAGGAATGTGTGGTTCTGGAGAGGGCTCTGCAAAGAATTAACAGGGAGACCCAGCCACGAGCTAAAGATGATGGCTTTGACTTTCTTCCTCACCCAGAGAGACAGTCTGTCGTCAGCTGTCTCCACTGACTGGCTGCAAGTCCTGTTTCCAGACAGATTTCTGGTACTGGTGAGGAGATCTAACACCCTGACAAGGAAGGAGCACGCGGCTACAGCAGTATGAGGCCTTTCTTTCAGTGATGTCTTTGCACTAGTTCCTGCCGTCTCCCTGAGGTTAGATGGCACTTTGGGGTTTCCTTCTGAGGAATATCAGACCTGTGGGAAAGGTCCAACCTCACATGTCCTGTATAAAATAAGGAGGGATATATGTGGTCAGACCTATCCCACAGGCCCTGTATTCTTGCTCAAGTGCAGAGACCTTGACATGCCATCTGATCTTCATCCCGCCACTTTCATCCCCTTCGTTGCTGCCATCTACATCAGTGTCTTCATCACCCTCCGCTCTCATGTTTCTAATTCCCGCATGCTCCCATCTCATCCCTGAGGAGCTGGAGGCCTGAGCAGGAGCACGCCTTGCTGCCACAGCAGGGCACAGCGCTGTGCGGGCACGGAGATGCCAGGAGATGGTCCCTTTGGGGTGGGCAGTCACCATCCTGACGGGCAGTCCCGGGCAGGGCCCCGCTCTGGTGTCAGCTAAGTACCAAGTCCTGTCCTTTGTGTTTTTCCACAGGGCTGTGTTTGTCACACTGACAGCCGGCAACTGGGATTTCTGGGAAGCGTTTGCTGCGCTTAATGGGGGGAGTACAGCACCTTTAAAATTAAGCACATCGTGTGGCAGTTTTGGGTCAGATGAGCTGTCAAGCCAAAGCAAATGTGCAGAACAGCCTTTGTTGTTCCTGGAGCAGAGATACCAATGGGCCGCTGGGAAACAATCTTCTGCAAACGTTGTTCTAATTGCTGTAAGGCCAGAGAATAACGATTCCTCACAGGTTTTCAGCATTCAGGAGGTTATTTATGAATCCCCTGCATAAAAAGGCATGCGCTGCGGAGAGCAGCTGAGCAGCTGTGGTCTTGTACTCCAGGTGTTTGTTGCATGAGTGTAACTGAGAAAAAGTGCATGTGTCAGTGGCCACATACCAAAATGTGAGCTCGCGAAGGTGGGGGTGTCCATCGGTGACCATCGGCATGTGGGTGCGTAGGTGCCTTAGCCAAAGAAGCTGGGCTTGACTGGGCAATGGGCTCAGCGTGGCTGGTCCTGGCTGGGGAGTGTTTCCTTTCAGTGTCTCTGTTCTGTGGGTGTTGCAGCATTCCCGCTTTGTTTTCCCTTGGAAGCAGGTCTTTTGTGCTGGAGGCTCATGGGGACTTGGGAGTTGGTGTGCTGAGGAAGCCTGTAGATTTTTAGTTTTTTGCTCTTTGTGCTGTAGTCAGAGTTGAGCAAAAGGATCTGTGACTTTTCGACGAGGGTCCTGGATAGCTGGTGCTTTGAGTGAGAGTGAGTGGGAAACCTCTTTCCAGTATGATAACACTCTTGAAGCTGTTCTAAGTTTAACTGGAGTGTTGATGGCTAGAACTGGAGCCTCCCCGGGCATTTTCTGCTCCCCTACCTATATTTAGGTGGGGATGAAGCAATTCTGTGAAGTGACCTTCCAGTACTCTACAGGAGCTGAAACAGATGGTTGCGAGGTGAAATACTTGGGCAGGACTGTGTGCCTCCGGGGAGCTGGCATCATTCTGCCACGTGACAGCATTGCGTAGGGGTGAGTAAACATAGTGCATCCACCTTGGAGAAGTGAGGGACAAGGGAAGTTTACCTTATGGGGGAAAAGTGACATCTGAAATTGCCTGCAAGTATTTAACCTCTTTGCCAGCAAATATCCCAGCCCTTTTGCTTGCAGCTGGGAGGCAGAAGAAGGTGTCAGCAATAATGAAGCAGAAGCTGTCTTAGCAGCCTGTAGGGTGCTGACTGTCCTGACACCTCCTGACCACCCGGGGATGCCAGCAGGGCACTGGCGAGCCCTGTGCTCCTGGTGAGCCCTGTGCTCCTGGTGCTCCGGTGCCATGTGTGGGAAAAAGGCGAGTGACACTGGGGCGCATGCAGAGATGTTCCTGGGAAGTCACTTCAGTTGTTTGGGAGCTTTCTAGAACTGGTAGAGCTTAGCAGTGGCACAGCCAACACTTTCTCTGCACCCTTAGCTGCAGCTGAGCTCTGTGGGAGCAAAGCCGACCCTCTCCTGAGCACGGGCTGCAGGACTGGGCTGGTGGTGGGCAGTCTGCAAAGCCAGGAGGAACCAGCTGCTGGACTGGAAGCTCCTGAACTGTTGTGAATTAAATTTTGCTGCTGCTTGATAAAATCATTGTCCCAGGCAGAGCTTTTCACTGCACTTCTGTCTGTGTACGTTAAAGGTTTTTGTGTGCACTTACACAGCAGCTCTGGCCCATCCTTACTCTGGGCCATACACAAAACTCAACTCTGCGCTTTAGGTTTGAAAAGTCTGACTGTGGGCAGGTGGTCACAGTAAGGGGCACTCCAATGAAAGTTACTTAAGCAAAGACAGGAGTTGACATCAGGGATATGTCATGAGCAGGGAGGACTCAAACAGTGCCTGTGGTGCCATATGCACACATGCTGAGCTGCAGTGCCACTCATCTGTAGGAAATCATCTACGGGGGCTGCATGTTTTGCTCATGGAGAAACCTCCAGCATTAGTCAGCAACTCAGCATTCAGCTGCGTGCGGTCGGCCTGGCAGCATGGAGCTAACCATGACTGTCGAGCTGCATGCCAGCGCAGGGCTTGAGGGCAAGGCAGTGACTCCTGCACCCGCCGACCTGGACCTTCTCCAGAGTGAGCCAAGTGCCCACAGTCGTGTCTGCAGAGGAGCTCAGAGTAGAGGGTTCCCCAGAGAGCCCCAGTCCCCACCAGCAGGATACTAATGCCCCTCTCCCACCTTTGCTCCCTTCAGAATGGGCTGAACGCCTTGCACCTGGCCTCCAAGGAGGGCCACGTGAAAATGGTGGTGGAGCTGCTGCACAAGGAGATCGTCTTGGAGACAACCACCAAGGTGAGGACAAGGGAGTCTAGTCACAGTAGTCACAACTCCACACCCTGCCATTGCTGCCAGACACCAGCAGGAGCTGTGCAGTGAATCACACTGTTTGCTTTCAGCCGTGGAACGGCTGTGCTGGGGCAGTGCTGGGGCTGGGCTCTGACTTCAGCACAGTCAACGCTGTGCTAGGCACCTCGAGGGGGGTGGAGGTTCCTCTACACACATACCTCTGCCCTGTGGGGACCACGGAGACCACTGCGAGCTCAAGGCGGGAGTAGCAGAAGCCACGACACGTGGTAGTGCTGTCTTTACTAACCTCCTGGCACTGGCTGCTGGCTCAGGGCAGCCCTTGCTGCCCCGGGGCAGCCCCTGCGTGCTGCAGCACTGAGACGGCCGTGGTACCGTTGTCGCAAGCCTGGAGAGCTCTGGTGCTCTGTGAAGAACATATCGTTCTCTCCTTGCATCGTGACAACGGGCTGTGGCTCTTGCTTGGTGGGAAGCAAGACCACGGCGCAAGCAAGCAGGGCTGAGAAACGAGCAGCCCGCAGCCCTGTCGGGAGGTCTGTGAGAGCAGGAGGGGGCCCGGCTCACCACCTCTGCGGTGCTCTGGCAAGGCTCGGGGCGTGGAGCAGAGTCTGGCGTTCTGCCGCACCACCCAAAAGTACAAGTCAGAAGAGCCTGTGTCTGCGTTTTCCAGCCTGTTTATCATCCCTTAGCTCTGCCGGGATGTCTTGGCTACCACGGCACACGCTGCAGTTTTGCCTGAAGACTGCCAGCTCAGCTCCCCCAGCCTCCCTCCCTTCTCCATCTCTCCGTGCTGGAGGTACACAGAGCCTGACAATGCACACAGCTTTTGCTGCCAGTAACTTCATGGGAGAGATGAAATCACTCTCTTCCCTAGCCAGAAAATGTCAGGGGTAACTGCCTGATCTACAGCAGGGATGGGGCATGGAGCAAGGGCCACATGACCCCACAGGCTTCCCCTGGCCAGCTGCTCCTTTTGCACCTGTGTTAGCACGTGTCAGGCCCATCTTTCCCCAGGATCCTGGGATGCTCCAGCCCCTGAGCGCTGCCATGTGGTGTCTTTCAGAAGGGAAACACAGCCCTGCATATCGCTGCCCTGGCTGGACAACAGGACGTGGTCCGGGAGCTGGTGAACTACGGGGCCAACGTCAATGCACAGTCACAGGTAGAGGGACCTGGGCTGGGGTGGATAAAGCACCCAGCATGCATGGTGGTGTCCTCATGGTGGGAACTGTTCCCAGCGTGGGCACTCCAGCAGCCCTTTACAGTTTCTCTCTAGTCCTGCTTAGAGGCAAGGACTGCTCTGCCAGACTCCTGAAAGATGAGTGTGTGACTGGTGAGGAGAGAGTCTTGAGGGATATGGGGAGACCAGCGTGGTCTCTCTGCTGGGGGAGCCCATGGCAGCACACAGAGGCACGTTCAACGTGTCCTGGGAGGACTCATGGCCAATGGCTCCTTGGCACAGCCACGAGGTCTCCAGCACCTCTGCAGCTCTGCACACTGTGCTGCCTTTGTCCTCTGTCTTGGGCCTGGTGGTGCTGCAAGCTCTTGAGCTTTTGCCCGACAGGAGAAACGTCCCTGAAGCAAAGGAGAGTAGTGGCAGTGAGTGGAAGGCAGTGTCTCCTGGGTTGACTGTTGCTGTGAGGCGTCCCCTGGTTCTTTCTGGATGTGGGGAGCCTCGGACTCCAGCTTTCTATGACTGCTGCACCATTGCTAGTTTTTCGCTTTTCCCCACTCACACTGTGTGTGCTTTTGCCCCAGTTCAGTGAGCTGGGGGTGTGGGTGTTGATGGTCTCTAAGTCTGCAAGGAGCCTGAGAAACTTGAGGAAGAGTTGTGCTGATGTGCACGGCCCTGTGTTTGCAGAAAGGCTTCACACCCCTCTACATGGCAGCACAGGAAAACCACCTGGAAGTTGTCAAGTTCTTGCTGGAAAATGGAGCCAACCAGAATGTAGCCACAGAGGTGAGATTCTTAGGGAGGACCCTTGGGCCCTGCTTGTTGGGGCTGCTCTTGGTTTGTGCCAGGTGTTGCCATGGCTCTTCGGCTCTCCCCCTCTCACCTGCCTCTCCTTGGTAGGACGGCTTCACACCACTAGCTGTGGCTCTGCAGCAAGGGCATGAGAACGTGGTTGCTCACCTTATCAACTATGGGACAAAGGGTAAGGTCCGCCTGCCTGCCCTGCACATTGCAGCCCGCAACGATGACACTCGCACAGCTGCCGTGCTGCTGCAGAATGACCCCAATGCTGACGTTCTCTCCAAGGTGTGTGGCTTTCCCATCCTGTCTCTGGGAGCTTTCCCAAATTCCCAGGGAGAACAGCAGCTTTGTATGCTGTATTTATCCATCCTTTCAGCAGGGAGCATGTGTCTGGCTGGGCTGATCCCTCCTTCTTTCCCCTAGACTGGATTTACCCCCTTGCACATTGCAGCCCACTACGAGAATCTCAGTGTGGCCCAGTTACTGCTGACCCGTGGAGCCAGTGTCAACTTCACACCCCAGGTGAGTGCAAAGTCAGAAGGCTACTGGGGCTGGTACTGCTGCAGCACCAGAGGAGGATGCAGCGGCTGCCGGGGTATGCTGTTGAGGTGGGACCGTGCAGAAGGTAGCACACTGATACGCGTCTGGGGAGCGGCCGTTAATAACCAGCATGGGCCTTTTCTACTACGTCTCCACTCTGACGGATTTAGCCATGCATCCCTGGAAGCCCTTGGGACCTTGTGTCCAGGCTGAGGGAAAGCTGATGCTGTTGCTGCAGGGCAGAGCTGATAGACCCTGCAGTTGGCGTGCCTCTTCCAGTCCCATGGTACAGCCAAATCCATGAGCTGGTGCTTTCCTGCAAGCTCTGTGCAGCTTTTGTCCACAGCCTTTAGCTGCAGGCAGGAGCAGGTGCTCACCCTCTCTCCCAGCCCTGTGAAACAGGCTGTTCCTCGGCACCGTCCCTGCGCAGGGATTTAGCTCTCCCCTGCCCTCTGTCCTTTGTTCACCCCATGCCTCCTTGCAGCCCCATGGGGCAAAGAGAAGAGGTTGCTCCCTCTAACAGACTGCCATTCCTTCTGTCAGAATGGGATCACTCCCCTGCACATAGCCTCCCGCCGAGGCAACATCATCATGGTACGGCTGCTGCTGGACCGCGGGGCCCAGATAGAGACGAGGACCAAGGTGAGACTGCTTCTGAATCACCAGCAAGTGCATGAGCTGTCTCCCTCCCTGAGCTCCGGGGAGCCCTGCTGTGTTGTGCTACCCAGCGCATACCCTGAGAACGTCTTGCTGGGTGTGCGAGGGGAGGTCCCTGGGGCACTAAGGGGATGGACCAGCTTTTTCGCTGGTGCACGTAGAGGTGAGAGGAGGCTGCGTGGCTGCAGCAGGTGTGCCCTGGGGTCTGAGGGCAGGCTCAGTTTTGCCGTATTTTGCAAACAAGTCCAAAGTCCCTGTTACCCTCCTGCCTGAGGGGAGCCCTGCCCTTCCTTGCCCATGCTCAGCCCTCGAACCGTCTCTCCCCAGGATGAGCTGACCCCTCTCCACTGTGCAGCTCGCAACGGACATGTGCGAATTGCAGAGATCCTGCTGGACCACGGGGCTCCCATTCAAGCCAAAACCAAGGTACCTGGGGACTCCATGGGGCTGTGCTTGGTGTCAGGTCCCAGGGCAGCACGGGTGGGTAACAAGCTGTACACAATTGCTGGATGACACCCATGGCTGGGCTGGTGCCGAGCTTTTGGCCTGCCAAGGAGTGAGGAGCTTCCTGACCTCCTCCTTGGCCCCAGCGGGAGCCCCTTCTCTGAGGGCTGCATGCTCCAGAGGGACCAGCCCTGAGAGGGGGGTGGCCTGGGGACATCCTGCCCTATAGCAGCAGCTCTTCAGGCCCTGCCCTCTGCTCAGCCTTGCTCCCCTGTAAGTCTCGGTGAGGGAGTTTGAGGCTCTCTCTGGTAGCACCCTGGGGAACGTGCCATTTCTTCTGTCCCTGAGCCGTGGCTTGGCCAGCAAGGCAGGGGTTGGGTGGGATGCCCAGTCCCCTCCTGAGGCCCCACTCCGCGGTTGCAGAACGGCTTGTCGCCGATCCACATGGCAGCGCAGGGCGACCACCTGGACTGCGTGCGCCTGCTCCTGCAGTACAGCGCCGAGATCGATGACATCACCCACGACCACCTCACGCCGCTGCACGTGGCCGCCCACTGCGGGCATCACCGGGTCGCCAAGCTGCTGGTGGAGAAGGGGGCCAAGCCTAACTCCCGAGCCCTGGTCAGTGAGGAGGTGCAGGCAGGGCTGGGGCAGGGGAGAGGGAGAGTGTTCTCACAAATGACTGTCCATCTGTCCGTCTGCAGAACGGCTTCACGCCCCTCCATATCGCCTGCAAGAAGAACCACATCCGGGTGATGGAGCTGCTGCTGAAGACGGGTGCCTCGATCGATGCCGTCACGGAGGTAGGTGGGCTGCAGCCCAGCCCCAGCTCTCCTGCTGCTCTCCTGCTGCATCAGTGGAGCGACTTCCCCGCTGCCTCTGCTGGTCCCCAGGCACCTTCTTCTTTGTGGCTTAGAGCTCTTTGCAGCTCAGTGCCTGTTGAGCCTGGCAGTGTCGCCCCACAGTCTGCTCCCCACAGGGCAGGGAGGCTGGAGAGGAGGCAGCAGCTCACCGGGCTGCTGGGGCCAGGTCGGGCACCCGGAGTTTGCCTCCGCTGGAACATGTCCTGGGGAGGGGGAGGAAGGGGCAGGAAGAGATGTTGGCAATGCCTTCAGCCCCCATCTTGGCTCCTCGCCCCTTTCTTTCTGCAGTCTGGGCTGACCCCCCTACACGTGGCTGCCTTCATGGGGCATCTGCCCATTGTCAAGACCTTACTGCAGCGCGGAGCCTCTCCTAATGTGTCCAATGTGGTGAGTCCCACCCTGGCTGGGGCTGTGGGATCTTGGCATGGCGGGGTCCAGCAGGCGGTGGGGATTGCCCAAGCCCTGCTCTCTCTGCTCTCCTGAGCAATCCCTGGTGCCTCCTGCTTTGTGCTGGTGGGAGAAACTGGTAGGGGCCAGAAAAGGCTGTGGGAACTGCTCTTCTGTGCTCAGATCAGAGGAACGACTGCAAGAAGGCATATCCCCTCCTACGGCCTCACCACTTTATCCTGTCCTTGGTGCAGAAAGTAGAGACGCCTCTACACATGGCAGCCAGAGCTGGGCACACAGAGGTGGCAAAGTACCTGCTGCAGAACAAAGCCAAAGCCAATGCCAAGGCCAAGGTAGGTGCAGAGAACCTATGTGATAGTCCAGTCCTCGGAACAGCTGATGCTGGTTTCTTCACTGTCACCTGTCCAGAGCCCGGCCTGCCAGGGGCTGTGCAACAGCAGGAGCAGGGCCAGGGCCCCTTCAGCACAGCGAGCAAGGGACTGATCCAGGTCTGCCAAAAGAGCTTCTCTGCCTCCCTCACAGGACGACCAGACGCCTCTGCACTGCGCTGCGCGCATCGGCCACACTGGCATGGTCAAACTCCTGCTGGAGAACAATGCCAACCCCAACCTGGCCACAACAGCAGGGCATATGCCACTGCATGTCACCGCCCGGGAGGGACATGTGGACACGGCCCTGGCGCTGCTGGAGAAGGGGGCCTCACAGACCTGCATGACCAAGGTAGGCTGCTGTGGCCACTGCCACCAACGGCGTGACCCAGCTGGGCCAAGGCTGGGCAGCTGGTGGCACAGCGTCCCTGTCACAGGACAGCAGCATGCGCCAGTGCTCTCCTTCTCATCCCTGTACACCCTGTGATGGGCTGCCTTTCTCCTCAGAAAGGATTTACCCCTCTCCACGTTGCAGCCAAGTATGGGAAGGTGGATGTGGCAGAGCTGCTGCTGGCACGTGACGCTCACCCCAATGCAGCAGGGAAGGTGAGTGGTGCTCCTGTGGCAGTGGGAGGAATGTTGTGGTATGAGGAGAGGCTCTGACTCACCTGGCTGTGCCCTCTCCCCCTCCCCAGAATGGCCTGACCCCGCTGCACGTGGCTGTGCACCACAACAACCTGGAGATCGTCAAGCTGCTGCTTCCCACGGGGAGCTCCCCACACAGCTCAGCCTGGGTAAGACTGGACCGGGTGTCCCTGGGGATGTGGGTACGTGTCATGTGTCCAATGCATGCCAGCCTGTGGCCAGCGTTGCCCCTCTGCCCTGACACTCCCTCGCCCCCCCCAGCCACTCTCCACGCCTGCTGCTCGTGGCTGCCCACCCCTTGCCCCAGCACGTGGGGCAGGCAGGGGTGCCAGCTGTGTCAGGGATAGTCCCTGCTGGCAGCGTGGTGACTGCTGCCTGGGGACGGGTTTCCATGGCAAGCCCTGTGGAGCAGCGCTGCAGTCTGACAGTTTGGGAAACCACACACGAATGTTTGCATGCAGCTGTGAAGCAGTGGGTCAGAAAACCCACACGTTCGTGAGAGCCGCCCCGCTCTGCCTGAGCACGGGGAGCATCTCCCCAAAGAGCAGACCAGCAGCCTCGGTTTCCACATTGTTTGCAGACGCTGCATCCTCAGAACAGACAAGTGGCTGCTGGTGCCGACCCTCCCCATCTGGCACTGCCCTCTGCCCCTGGCTACTGGCAGACTCGCTGGGCAGGCATCGGGAGCAGCCGGTACCAGCGCCAATCCGCCGTTGGTCTGCGTCACCAACAGCCTGCTTGTCGCCCCAGGCAGCGGGTGTCTGCCAGCTGCTTCGCTCCTGCAGCGTGGCAGCAAAGGCAGTGCTCTGCCGGAATACTAATCCTGCATATTGCAAGCTTTGCTCCACACCTCAGCCAGACACGTTCTAGGAGGTGTCTGTCTGCCCTGGCTGCTCACAGCTCCATGTTGCTGATACTGCTGTAGAAATTCGTGTGGAAAACTCCAGGACAGCAGATACCAGTTGAACCTGAAGCAGGTGGTCTTTGAAACCCCTGTGCTGTCTTGGCTGGAAGGGGGGGATTTGACCTGGGCATCCAGGCTAGCTGCTGTCAGGGAGGTGTTCGGGTGTAAACCTGCGTTCCTGAGCGCTAGAGGTGACTAGGAAGGGCAGACCTGGCCTGGAGAGGCGAGGGGGCCCCTTCCGTCCCTGGCGGTCTGCATAGCAGGGGCCGAGTGCTGCAATGAGCCTCTCTCCCTGCAGAACGGGTACACCCCCCTGCACATTGCTGCCAGGCAGAACCAGATGGAGGTGGCCAGTAGCTTGCTGCAGTATGGCGCTTCTGCGAATGCGGAGTCTGTGCAAGGAGTCACCCCCCTACACCTGGCTTCCCAGGAGGGTCATGCAGACATGGTGGCACTGCTTTTCTCCAAACAAGGCAATGGCGACCTAGGCAACAAGGTAGGCTGTGCCGGCATGTCCTGCCGGGCTGGAGGCAAACACCCTGGTGGGCAGCAGCAGACAGGGTGGTAGTCCAGGCCCTGGTGCCTCCCTGCATTTGCATAGCAGTGCACTGGCCAACAGCACAGTGTCAGTCAGTTCACCAGGTTGGAGACCTGACGTGAGAGTCTCTGCTGGTAGAGCTGCAGTGATGGCATTGCCACTGTGCTGAGATCTCTTGTCTTTGCAGAGTGGCCTGACTCCTCTCCATCTGGTGGCCCAAGAGGGGCACGTGCTGGTTGCTGATGTTCTGGTGAAACACGGAGTCACTGTGGACGCAACAACCAGGGTAAAGTAGTGTGTTGACCATGGCTGTGGTGAAAAACGTGGGGGAGATACCTCTAGGCGGGCTCCAGGAGGAGCATTGATTTTCTTTTTCTTTGTGCAAGAGTCTCGTCTCTCACAGGCATCCTTACCATCTTGTCTGTGTCTTGGGGACTCTTCCTCCTCTTCACCCCCACCTCCCTGGAGAAGTGATTCTTGCCTGCTCCCACAGCTCACACCTGTACCCCTGGGCACAACGTGGTGTGCTCTGCAGTGTGCCCTCTGCCCTGAGTCCTGGGCTCTCGGGCAGCACCCACACGCGTGCCCCATCGTTCATCCATGGAGGCTTGCCCGTGGGATGAGCGTACCCAAGCCAGAAAGGTGGGAAATAATATTGAGGGCAGACTGAGACCTGATCTTGTCTTTCAGATGGGCTATACCCCACTGCACGTGGCCAGCCACTATGGGAACATCAAGCTGGTGAAGTTTTTGCTACAGCACCAGGCTGATGTCAATGCCAAGACTAAGGTACAGAGATGTCATGTGCTCCAAGGACCCTTCTGCCCTGGGCAACAGGGTGCAGGTTGATGGGAAGCGCTTAGCCTCCCTCCCTGCTCCCACTTCCCCCCACCCCACGTTGCTCCAAGCTGTCCTGTCTCTGAAGCCGCTATAGTCTAGCTACAGCCTCGGGCAAGTGCTGGGTTCTGCACAGCCCTTTGCTCACCTGGGGAAGGAGGGAGCTGCCCTCATGCTCCGGGCACGAAGCACAGGGTGAGACCTGGTGGCATTTCTGGGGCAGCAGACTCAGAACTGACGGCAGCACCCTCCGTGCTCCCCTGCAGCTTGGCTACACCCCTCTGCACCAGGCGGCACAGCAGGGCCACACGGACGTGGTGACGCTGCTGCTGAAGCACGGCGCCTCTCCCAACGAGATCAGCACAGTGAGTATGGCGCTCGCCCGCACCCCCACGCCTCGTGGCAAGCTCAGGCGCCTGCCCGGGCTGCCCTGTGGCTGCTGCTGACCCAGTGCTTCCTCCATGCACAGAACGGCACCACTCCTCTGGCCATTGCAAGGCGACTTGGCTACATCTCTGTCACAGATGTGCTCAAGATTGTCACTGAGGAGACCGACATCCCGGTGAGCCCCCGGAGTCTGGGCCCAGGACCCTGTGGAGCAGGGCTGGGACTGGGAGCAGCCAGGCTAAGGCCACTGAGCACAGCTGGGCAGGGCCAGCACTGGCGGCTGGGTGCCTAGCCTGGCGTGGGGATGGGGCTACCAGGGGCTGCGCAGTGAAGGGCCGGCCTCTGACACTGTGCTTTGCTCCAGCAGTCAGCCAGTGACAAGCACCGCATGAGCTTCCCAGAGACTGTGGACGAGATTTTGGATGTGTCAGAGGATGAAGGTGAGGGGCCAGACCTGGGTCTCACCATCCGAGATCTACCGGTGGGGCCAGTGTGGCCAGCAGCAGCCCCAGGGATGGGCACTGGCCTTCCTGTCGGCTGGGGTGGGGGAACTGCCTGGCCCCACTTGTGGTCTTGCAGAGAGGATGAGGGGGGCCCACCAGACTCCTGGGGTGGCACCTCCTGGCTTGGGTGCTTCCCTGTGCTATGCAGGAGGGATATGCCTGGATTTCTCCATGGTCCCATGGCCCAGGGACAGTGTGCAGAGATCCCTTGGGCATGCAGAGCCCCACACTGTGTCCTGCTCCGTGGGGTGGTTCCAGCTTAGCTGCAGCTGGTCCACTCCTGCTCCCTCCCACCGAGACCTCACCTTTGCCTCTTCTTACTTTGCAGGCACTGCTCATGTCACAGTAATGGGTATGAAATGTGTTCCCCTGCCCAGCTCAATGGCCCATTTCACCCCATGGCCACTAACCATCCGCACGCCACATCCGTCTGCTGAGCCTTGCTGCTGAGCTGGTGCTGCCCAGCGCAGGCCCTGCCATCCCACCCTGCCCATCTGTGTCCATGCTGCTTGCTGTGGTGTGACTGCATGAACGGGGCTGCCCCCGCTGCAAGGGAGCCCCAGCTCCCTGTCGGCCCCAGGCCCTGCCCCCAGGAGGCGGAAGGGGCTGGTTCTGTAACACGCTCTGGTGCTCCTCCAGGACCACCCTGTACCATCCTGAGCAGGGCAGGGATGAACCTGAGTGCTTGAGGGTCTCCATGCTGCTCCAGTCGCCTCCCCATCACTGGTGCTCTCCCTTCTTTGGGAGGTGCTGGAATCCCTCCCGTAGGGTGAACTCCTTAGCAGGCGTTAATTGGGCCAGCAGGCAACACTGGCTGGGCTCGTGCCTCCAAGGGGGTACACGGCGGCAGGGTGTCCCCAGCAGGCTCTGCTCTGTGGTAAAGCAGCCAACAGCTCCTGTCCCACTGACCTCGCACTGCCGGCAGACCCCGTTGGGCAGAGGGCAAAGCCACTCTGAGACTGGCTGAGACCCAGAGGACAAGTGTGTGCAGCCAGCAGTGGGAGCAAAGATGGTCCCTGGTTCCAGCCCTGACGAGGGATAGGGCAAGGGCTGGGCATCCGTGCTCCCTTGTCCTTTTGCTTCTCTGCATGCTGAGCCCGCTCTTGGTTTCAGAGGAGGAACTGATCGCACCAAAGCCCAGGACACCTGATCCCAGGGACCAGGAGGGCAAGAGGGAGATGCTGGAGTTTGCGACCACGACACTGGAGCAAACGTAAGGGGCCCTGGGTGGTAGGGAGGAAGTGGGTGCAGGGCACAGGGCCAGCCTGGTGCTGGGCTGGGATGCCAGTGGGTCAGGGACGTCTCTGGGTGAGGAATGGATCACTGTGCCCCATCAGCTACCCCAGCAGGCAAAGGTAGTCAGTGTTGCTCCTGCACCAGGACATAAGTCTGCTGCCGAGTTTGCCTTTGTCCAGTGGCCTCAGGACTCCCTGGGGACAGCCAGGGGCTGAGGGGCCCAGGCCTGACGGCTGTCACTGCCCTCTCCTGCCAGGGAGGAGTCTCCAGCTGTCCTGCAGGTCCCCTGCATCCCACCTGAGACCGTGGTGACCAGAGCAGAGGAGACCGAGCAGGTAGGACCTGTGGAGACAGAAGCTGAGCAAGTCAGCGGGCTGCATGTGCCCTCGGTGTCCCCGCAGGAGGTGAGCATGAGACACAGCCTGCTGGCCCCTCCAGGCATCCCCTGCCCGGGTGGAACACCCCCATCACCACAAAGCCAAAACGTGGGCTGGGTGGTGGGGATGGACCTGGTGGTATGGGACTGCCCAGGGAGGGTTGTGAGACTCTGGAGGAGTGAGTAGGCTCAGCACCCCCAAATAGGACCCTGTGCCCACGGGGGCTCTTCCCTGCCTTGCACAGCCCTCTAAGGAATTTGACGAGGACTCCCTGATCCCCAGCAGCCCCGCAACCGAGACCTCGGACAACATCAGCCCGGTGGCTAGCCCCGTGCACACAGGGTGAGTGCCCAGCCCCTGCAGCACATGCACGCTCTGTGCATGAGCCAGCTGCGGGGTGCCCACCTGGCCCTGCCTCTGCCTGCTCCAGGTTCCTGGGTGGACGCCCGCGGAGGCTCCATGCGGGGCAGCCGGCACCACGGACTGCGCGTAGTCATTCCGCCCCGCGCCTGTGCGGCACCGACCCGCATCACCTGCCGCCTGGTGAAGCCCCAAAAGCTGCCCGCGCCCCCGACGCTGGCTGAGGAGGAGGGCCTGGCCAGCCGAATCATCGCCCTCGGGCCCGCCGGCGCCCAGTTCCTCAGGTGAGCCTGGCTGGGAACGGAGCAGATGGGGATGCCTGTAGTGGGGCTGTCCCTCAGGACTGGGATGGATCTGATCTCCTCTGGAGTCTCTGCCAGCTGGGGCAAGACCTCTGCCCATCTCTGCTTCTGAGGGTCTAGTGCAGGAGAGATCCTGCCTCTGGGCAAGTGCAGCGTGGTTCTGGGTGGGTCATTCCAGCATAACGGAGCAGTGGTTGTGCTGTGGTGGGAAAAACCTTGACCAGCATGGTCGTGCCAGGTGCAGAGCCCCATTCTCGGAGAGAGGGGTGTGAGCAGTGCTGCCTTCCTCCTCTGGCAGCCGTACAGCGTGGGCAGGTGCTCTGTCCAGGGCTGCCTTGCTGCCCACGTGTCCGGCAGCAGCACGTGGGTGCGAGCACCCTTCCTCTCCTGTCTGCAGCCCCGTCATTGTGGAGATCCCACACTTTGCCTCCTATGGGCGCAGAGACCGCGAGCTGGTGGTCTTGCGCAACGAGAATGGCTCTGTCTGGAAGGAGCACCACAACCGCTACGACGAGAGCTACATGGAGCAGCTACTCAACGGCATGGATGAGGGTGAGCGTGTTGGCAGGCGCAGGCTCAGCTCCATGGGGTTCCCGCAGGCAGGACTGCAGCGGGCGTGGGTGGTGGGGTGGAACCGAGTGTGGCATGGAAGGAGTGGTGGGTGACAGCCATGGGCTTGGCACATGTGTGCTGATGGCCATGCTGCCCTTGCAGAGCTGGAGAGCCTGGAGGAGCTGGAGAAGAAGAGGGTCTGTCGCATCATCACCACAGACTTCCCTCTCTACTTCGTGGTCATGTCTCGGATTCGCCAGGACTGCGATGAGATTGGCCCCAGGGGAGGGTGTTTGAAAAGCACGCTGGTGCCCATGGTGCAGGCCACCTTCCCAGATGCCGCCGTCACCAAGGGAGTGAGCCTTGCCCTGCAGGTGAGCCCAGGAGAGCCCGGCCAGGGGCCACGGGCGCCTACCGGCAGGGGGGGGG